TAAACATTTCAAATATATAAACTTCAGTGAGTTGATGATAATACTTAAAAAACTAATATTTGAAGCTGAGCAAATTACCATAAACTGGATGCCTTAAAACAACAGTAATTTATTTCTCATAGTTCTGGAGGCCAGAAGTTTGAAATTAAGGTGTCAGAAAAGGCCATACTCCTTACAAACACTGTAGGGGACAGCTCTGTTCCTTGCTCTTTCTAGCTTCTGTAGTTGCTGACTTAGGTGCTTGTGGCCACATCACCCCAGTCTCTGTCTGTTCACATTGCCTTCTCCTTCTCTGTTCACATTGCCTTCTCCTGTTTATGTCTTTTTGTCCGCCCAAGGATTCCTGCCATTATATTTAGGACCCACTAGGGTAAATCCAGGATAACCTTTCCTTCTCAAGATTCTTAACATCTTGTTGCCAGCATTTCATTCAGTACAGATACCCACCAATTATTCTGAAAATATACTGAGGTCATAATCTGGTTATATGTCATATGAATGTATATATTTAGGGCCTTCCCCTGTGGCACAAGGGGTTAAAGCACAGCACTATAAAGCTGTCTGCAGTCACTACAGCACAAGTTTGATCCCTAGCCAGGGAGCTGACCCACATGGCAAAACAGACCTCTTCTCTCTTGTCCACTGCTCTCCTCAACAGTGTATTTCGGTCAGTTTGCCTGTTCTGTTCCCCACTCTGTCTCTGGTGAATCCTCTCACCCCTACAACCCTGTACCTCAATTCTTGTATGTGTAAATAAATTATATCTATATATATAAATACTGGTCCTTAAAAATCTTTTCATATTTTGTGCCCAAAAATGGATGACTGGATTAAAAAGATGTGGTACATATACACAATAGAATATTACTCAGCTACCAAAAAAAATAAACACATGCCTTTTGCAGTAATATGAACAGAGCTGGAAAAGATGATGCTTAGTGAAATAAGCCAGAAAGAAAAGGAAAAATACTGGATGGTTTCACTCATAGCAGGAGTATAATGGATCAGGCAAGAAAATAATAATAATAATGAACAGCCATATACCAGAGACATTTTATGGGGGTGGAGTGGGGAATGGGATCAAAGACAGAAGGGGGAGGGAAATGCACTGGACTATAGTGATGGCACATGGGTGATTTGGTGATGGGAAGCCCACGGGGATTACAACTGAGATGGAAAAGGCACAAAATGATGTAAAAATAAACTATTAAATTATTTTTTAAATATCTTTACATATTTTGACTTGCATGGAAACATCAGTAGGGTTGCCACCCAACTCAATGATACTGATAAATTATCTCAAAGAGAAGGTAGTATTGCAGGGGGTTGTAGTTTCTACCTTAAAAGGGTAGTTGTGAGAGTTGAATTAAGTCCTTCTCAGAAGAACCTACCCCAGTGTTAGGTACATACCAGATAGTTAATACTTGGTTGCTCTAATTAATAAAATTATGTGTCATTGAAGACATTGTAGTAACTGAAAAAGTACTTTTGTGTTTAAGTCTGGGTTGTATTTATAGTTCTGAACCTTAGTATTTAAAATTTGGAACAAAGTTTAAGCTTCACAGAAGTTTGAGATGGTGCTTCACATTAAGTCCACTCTGGGAGAAGTTCTCCACCAGTGGTCCTGGCATTTTTATAATTTATTCCAGTTGGCTTTGAGATAACTTTTGGTTTCACTTCTAGAAAAGGTTGCCTTAAGGGGAAACATTCCAAACAGAGTTATTTATTTATTTATTTATATTTTGGATAATTACAGATAGCTTTATTGTCTCTTTTCCAGGCTGCTATGCTAAGTAGAATTCTTACATTCTTTCATGGAGTTATTTTTGTGTATGTTTTTTATCAGACAGTAGTTGGGATAAGTGAAGTGTATTAAGATTGCTGCAAGCAATTAAGAAGAAAATAAACAGCTACATATTAATTATTTTAATTTTATTTTCACTATGTCCCTTTAAAAACATTGAGGAATAAAAAGTAGACAATAAAGAGTAGTTGGCAAGTGATGTTTGGACCTTCAGACATTCCTGCTAGCCTTTGGGCTGAGTTTGGCAGTTCCTCAAGAAATTAAACAGAGAGCTAGCACAGACCCAGTAACTCCACTTCTAGACATGGAGCACTGAAACCTTGTATGAAGGTTCTCCATGTCATTGTTCACAATGGCAAAAAAAAGTGGAAATGGCCCAAATGTTATCAGGTAATAAATACACAGTATATTGTATCTGCAGGCCTCCTTGGTAGTGCAAGGGGGAAGTCTCAGCACTGTCAAGCTTTCACCACCCATTGCAGTGTAAGTCTGGTCCTCAGCTAGGAAGCTGGCTCACATGGTACAACAGACCTCTCCTGTCTTGCCTGCTGCTCCCCTCAGCAGTGTATTTCATTTTGATCCACCTGTTCTGCTCCCCACTCTGCCTCTACTGAATCCTGTCTTCCCCCACACTTCTGGCCTACATCCCAGTTCTTATATACATAAATAAATAAAATAAATCTTTAAAATAGATATATAGATATAGTGCATATGCATCTGATGACCTATTATTCAATGAAGAAATGGAGTGAAATATTGATACATGTTCTAACATTGGTGAACCTTCAAAACACGCTAATTTTAAAAAAGCCAATCACAAACACCATGTATTATATGATCCCATTTATGTGGGATCTCTACAATAGACATATCAGTAGAGCAGAAGATAGATTAGTTTTGCCTGCGACTAGAGGCATGGATGGTGGGAAAATAGTGATAGCTTCAAATAGCTACATGATTTTTGAGACAGTGATGATAAATGATTGTGGTGATAGTCTCACAACTCTGCAAATATTAAAATTATTGAATTATGTACTTTAGATATAGTATAAATTATATCTCAGGCTTTTGCTTTTAAATTATACTTAACATATGAGTATACTGAGGATATAGTTTTTCATCTCAAGAATCAACTCTTTCTGTATGATGAACTTTAAAGAAAAAAAATCTTACTCTTGCTGTATGTCAATTTTCCCATGTATAAACTTTATCATAAGGATTAGATACACATCATATGGCACTTTCTTAGTAATGTTTGCTGTCCTTTCTAGTGTATCTGTGTGTTCTTTTAAAAAATGTTTTGTTTTTATTTACTTATGCATACAAGAACTGGGGTGTAGCCAGAGGTGCAGGGGGTGAGAGGATTCACAGAGACATAGTGGGGAGTAGAACAGGAGGATCTGCTGAAATACCCTGCTGAGGGGGCAGCAGGCAGGTCAGGAAAAGTCTGCTGCTCCATGTGGGTCATCTCCCTGGCTGGGATTAAACTCATGATGCCGTGGCTGGGATTAAACTCATGATGCCGTGGCTGGTAATAGCTTGAAAGCACTGAGACTTAACCCCTGTGCCACCAGGGGTCCTTTCTTAGGACATTTAAGAATATATTGAAATGGTGTTTTGTAAACCTTGTGTATTCTAAGGACCCATGCCTCTGCATTTTTTTTAAAGGATAAAAGTTGTTTTGATCTGTGTATTTACTTTTTTTTTTAATAATGTAATAGTTTATTCTTACATCATTTTGTGCATTTTTTCATCTCAGTTGCAATCCCCTTGGGTTTCCCATCACCAGATCACCCATGTGCCATCACCATAGTCCAGTGCATTTCCCTCCCCCCACTGTTTTTGATTCCATCCCCCATCCACCCCCATAAAATGTCTCTGGTATATAACTGTTCATTATTATTATTATTTTCTCGCCTAGTCTGTTATATTCCTGTTATAAGAGAAACCATCCAGTATTTTCCCTTTTCTTTCTGGCTTATTTCACTAAGCATGATCTTTTCCAGCTCCATCCATGTTACTGCAAAAGACATGTGTTCATTTTTTTTGGTTGCTGGCCTCTGCATTTTTAAGGCAAGTAGCTTTCTGTCAATATGTGGTACCATCAGACCCTTAGCTTTACCATAGGATGCCATTTTGCTATGAAGGCATCTTTAGTTCAGCTGCTATAAAGAAAAAGGAATTAGTAAACATGCACTCTTTGAGAGTTAGCATTAATAGTTAGGATTTTTTTTTTTTTTTTATGCATACAGAGCTAGAGTATAGGCCAGAGGTGCAGGGGCAGTGAGCAGCGGGTTCACCAGAGTCTCCAGGGTGGGGATCAAATTCACACCGAAACGGCGGCCAGCTCTGTAGTGCTGCACTTTAACCGCTGGGCTTTAACCCGCTGCACCACCAGGGAGAGCCCGATTATTATTTTTTAATTATTATTAAGATATCAGAATTCAGTAAGGTCTCTTACCAGTGATACACTGTGAACTTTTTAGAACATTAAGATCTCATTGCTATTTATTATAAGAAGTGTGGGCTCTTGAAGGAAAAGCCCTCATTTAGATAAGAAGACTAAGGTTGGCTAAGCTCTGACAGACTCTGAAATATTGAGTGATGAAATAGAGAGGTTACATCCAGTGCAAACCTACATTGCTTCTATTAGCAGTTTTAAAGCTTCCTTTCACTGGTAGACCTAACACTTGTGGTAGACCTGAAACTATTTGAGAGATGAAGGTAAGTTTTAAGGTGTGATAGAGTTTTTGAGGTAGCATGCCCATTACCTTCATTTTAGAGATGGGAAACTGGGCCCTGTTCTGTCAAGCAGGGGCTCTCTCATATTAGCAGGTTGCCACTAGATTGCCTTAAGAGCATGTCCACCACCCAAAGGGCTCTAGAATCTTCACTAAGCTTTTTCTAATTTAATGACTCATGGTTTATATTCTGCTTCCTGCTTCAGTCAATTCTATCGGAAAATTGAAGAATGAATACTAACGTGCCCATCCCTTCCCCATCCTCTCATCATCCTTCACTAGAGCTTTCTGAGGAAATAGGAGGCTGTTTGCAGTAGAACTCCAAAAAAGAAGATCCTTCCCAAAAGTGTTTGGTCACGGTTCTTAATACAGGTAGCAGCATATGATTGGGGAAGGAATGGTGTTTGATATCAACTCAGATAACAATTTTTTTATTGTCATGTTTTCCCCTTTAGTGTCGTCTAGACTGTCTCAGCCGTCCTCTCCCCAGTCAGGCTGCCCATCACCCACCATTCCAGCAAGTAAAGTCATTTCTCCATCACAGAAGCACAGCAAGAAGGCACTAAAGCAGGTAATATGCTAGTCTCTGTTTTTCTAAAAGTAAAATATGTGACTCAGGCAGTCATTGACTCTGTCTTGGAAAGGACTTTATTAGATCCTTTCAAGGAGAAATTTCCTGCATTGTCCCATTTGGTTTTAATAATGCGTTCACCATTGGTAATACTCTTTTAGAAGTTCCTCAATTTGTTCCTAACTGAGAGATTTTTGTATGTGTCTTAATAATGAGTAGGTGTTGAATTTTTCAGTTTTGTTTTCTTTAGCATAGACTGAGATGTTAGATAACTTCTCTTTACTGGTAAACTGAATGCATAGCTAGACTTTTTAAAGCTAATTTATACTTAGTTCTCTAAAATAAACTACAGTAATTTTTATAGATATTAAGTATTTTGTTCAATTTTCTAAGATTTTAGCTTAGATTTAGCTTGTACTGTTCGTACAATTTGAGAATTATCATTTCTAGCATAAAATAAGTTGTGAAGTTTTCTGTATTTTTTTAGATTTTGGAAAAGTTAGGAAATTATCCTTTCCTTGAAAGTTCTGTAAATTACACCTTTTAAAATTGCTTTAGAAGTATTTCACTTTCATCTGCTATTGCTCGTATCTTTGGATTGCCAGTGGTTTTTTTTTTTTTTTTTTTTTGGTCAAAATTAGTAAACTTTATTTAAACTTCAAAAAATAAAATAACAGACAAAGGCAGCTTTAGCTTTGTTCTTCCCAAGGATCAACTGTTATGACCCAGAGCAGAAATTACTCCTAAGAAGTTAAAACACCCTTTTCTCCCAATCAAGCCACAGGCAAGGAGGGATCCTCAATTTGGGAACAGGCCTGGGAGGGGCATGTAGGAAGCGGAACATCACAGCCAGTGGGTGGGTTCTGAGACAGCGCAAGTCGAGAACACGACAGAGTCCCACTGCGAATGGGACCAGAACTTCAAAAGGAAACTTTGTCACAAGGAGCTCTGTACAAGGGGTTTGGGCTGAAGAACGGCACCCCAGGAGGGATGTGAGAGGACTGCAGTGCACCAAGGAGGCTGCTCTTTGCCCTAGCCAGCTACTGCTGTACCCTACTCACCCTCAGTTCTCCTTGTCACTATCATCAGGGCTGATGGCTGGGCTGGTGAGACTGTAAGTGGGGCTGATGGGCGAGTAGCCCCTGGGAAGTGGGTGAGTAGGTAGAGGTGGGAGAATAGGTGGGGCTGGTGGGTGAGTAAGTGGGGCTAGTAGGTGAATACTTGGGTGATGTTGGAGTATATACCGGAGAGGTTGGTGAGTAAGTAGGAGATGTTGGTGAATATTTTGGGGTGATGGATGAATAGGTGAGTAAGTAGGAAATGTTGGTGAATATTTTGGGGTGGTGGGTGAATAGGTGGGGCTGGTAGGAGAGTACTTGGGAGAGGTGGGTGAAGTTTTTGGGCTGGTAGGGTATACTTGGGAGAGGTTAGGGTGTACTCTGGTGAGCTGGGACTGTAGGAAGGACTGGTTGGGGTATACTTTGGTGAAGTAGGGCTGTAGCTGGGAGAACTTGGAGTATAGATTGGAGACTGGGGTGTGTACTGTGGGCTTGAAGGGGGGGAGTACCTTGGTGAGGCTGGGGAGTAGCTTGGAGAAGTTGGGCTATAGTTAGGGCTTGTAGGTGTGTAGTTGGGACTAGTAGTTGAGTAGCTGGGTGATGTTGGGCTCTAGCTGGGTGACATTGGCATATAAATAGGACTGCTTGGAGAATAGTTAGGGCTGGTGAGTGAGTAACTTGGAAGTTGGTGAGTAGCTTGGTGATGTTGGTGAATAGCTTGGAGATGTCGGCGAGTAGCTGGGAGAGGTGGGAGAATAGCTGGCCATAGTTAGACATCTGAGCATCATGTCACCTGCAGCAGAGGGTGTGTGTTTCAGCAGGTCAGGTGTGTGTGCAGGTGTCTTTCTGCTCATGCTCTATGTGGGGATGTATTCTAAATCTCACTCCTCTTTTATGAGGTCACTTTAAAGCCAGTTGCTTCTCCCTCCTGGTCTTCATTGCTCTGCTCTTAAGCTGGCTTTTCCCCAGGAGTAAATGGCTTTACCCCAGGCGTCTCTTCAAAGAGGCTGTTGTCCTGCAGATTAGTCCATTAGAGCCCCTTGCTCAGGACCCTAGGACCCCAAACATAGGTAGCACAAGAGAAAGAAAGGTCAAGCTCTGATAATTACTGCTCCATCTTCACTACCCTGGAAGCCATAGTCTGTGTTTAGTGTAATACAACTTACACATTGTGTTTCATTAAAAAAAGAAAGTATTGATTACCACAAGTAGCACGGAAGTATTTGCATAGACCCTGCCATTGTAAATGATGTGATTATTGTTGGGTAGCATTTATCCTTTATGGATCTGTTAGAAAAAATGAATAAATCACTACTGGGAATTTACTACTATACCAAAAAAAGGTTCAGGGTGGGTGAGAGGCTTCACTAGAGACAGAGTAGGGAGCAGAACAGGCAGATCTATGAAATACACTGCTGAGGGGAGCAGCAGGCAGGTCAGGAGAGGTCTGCCACACCATGTGGGTCAACTCCAGGGCTGGGGATCGAACTCGCACTGAAGCAGCTGTGGCTAGCTTGCAATGCCGTGTCCTAACCTGTTGTGTCACCAGGGCTGGCCTCCCTGGTTTTTTTTGAGTCAGTTTTAGAAGTTATCTTAGTGTACTGAATATTTTTTTTGATCCCTAAATGTGGATCAAAATAGTGTACTGAATATTTTTTTTGATCCCTAAATGTTAGCTTATAGTATCTCTTGCCCCTCCCCCCAGTAATACTTGCTGATAGTATGCCTTTTTTATTGGGCTTCTTTTAAAAAAAAAATGGTTTATTTATTAATGTATACAAGAACTGGGGTATAGGCCAAAGGTGTGGGGGTACGAGAATTCCTCAGAGACAGAGTGGGGAACAGAATAGGCAGATCAATTGAAATACATTGCTAAGGGCAGCAGTGGGCCAGGCAGGAGAGGTCTGCTGCTCCACATGGGTCAGCTCCCTGGCCGAGGTTTGAACTCATATTGCAATGGCTGGCGATAGCTTGATAGTGCTGTGTCTTTAACCCCTGCACCAACAGAGAGGCCCATATTTTACTGGGATTTTTTTTTTTTTTTTTAAGATTTATTTTATTTGTACATACAGAACTGGGGTACAGGCCAGAGGCTCAGGGGTGGCGAGAGGCTTCACCAGAGACAGAGTGGGGAGCAGAACAGGCAGATGGACGAAGTACACTGCTGAGGGGAGCAGCGGGCGGGTCAGGAGAGGTCTGCCACGCCATGTGGTCACCTCCGGGGCAGGCGGGAATCGAACTCATGCGGAAGCGGCTTTAGATTCTCAGTGCAGTGCTTTAACCCGCTGCGCCACCAGGGAGGGCCTTACTGGGATTTTTAAAAAACTAACTGCAGTGATCAGTTAATGAATGCAAGTGATCAATAAATATAAGCTCATTAGTATTTATGGAAACATTAACAGACTGCTTTTATTGTCATATTAGTTTAAATTAAAGAGCTTAACTGTAATATCAAGCTTTGGCAAAGTGTGGGAAATGACTATAATTTACTTGTGGAATATAAATTATTATGGTTAGTTTAGAGAGAAGTTTAGCAATATCAAAAAAAAAAAGAAAGAAAGAAAAGAAGAACTGGCACCCAAAATTGGTGGTCAGAAAAGAAAAGTTTAGCTTTATGTTTGAATTAATATAAAAAAATTCATATATTACCTGCATAATTTTTTTTCAGTTATATAGGTTTTAAAGTAGACGCAAGTAATTAATAAAGTTAATAAACTACCTGCCTGGATATACTTTGGCTCCTGTGGAAGATTGTTAGAAAATTTTAAGAAGTACAAGATAGTTTTTCACAGAGGGGATAATAGTATTTTCATAAACTTAGCTAATTCATGAGCTTCATGCTCCTGTAATCCCAGGAATCAAATCAACTTTCTTTTGGGAATATAAGTATGGAGAATTTTATAACTTGGATTGGTAGACCAGCTTTGCCTCCAGCGTATGCTTTTCATAGCATTAGGTAATAAAATTGCTTTAGTGTAATCTGTCTTTTACCACAAGTAAGGGTTTTTTCCTTTGATTTTTAGTTTTAAGGTAGAAGGAACAAGAGTTTGTAAGCTACTGAGACAGGGGAAATGGAGTGCAGTTCTTGAATAGAGAAGTTGTAAATTATTGTTTCTAACTTATGTCTTAATTTATATAACAGTAGAAGCAAATGGGATTAAATGTTTATTAAATTTTACATTAACCTAGAATTACCTGGATACTCTTAGTAGCAAGGAATGAACACTAGTAACTGCTACCTAGGAATGAACATTTTCTGGACTAATAGTGAGAAATGAGTGATGATGAGGCAACACTGTGTTTTCCCCACACACGTTGTTTCCTTTCACTTATCAAATGTAGATGAGTGTGATTCTCTTACTCTTCTGCATTAACAGCTTAAATTAAAGAGCCTAGTTAATGCCTCTGTGCCTGAGTAATGGTAGAGCCAAAGATGTGTGTAATGTTGAGCACAGGGAAACTATACAGTGAAAAGGGAGTGGGAAGTAATAATTATTCCACACTTTCTGCATGATGGTTTTGAAGGTTAAAACATTGAACTGGCCCCAAAAGTAGATGACTGGATTAGAAAGATGTGGTACATATATACAATGGAATATTACTCAGCAACCAAAAAAGAGAAACACATGTCTTTTGCA